GCTGAAAACACACATTTACGGGGGGGAGCTAGGCAAGTCACTATGCACGGGAATAGTACCTGCCCTAGGGCTCCCCTTGCCATGGCAAGGGGCTAACTGGTGGAAATGCTCTTATAAATCACTCACATGCATCAACCGGGTGATAAGAAAAGAAAGGAAATTGAAGGTGGCTTTTGTTTACGAAGAAATTAAAGTAAAGTTCAGGCATAGGATGATAATAATGTATTACTCGAAAATTATTATGAAATTATAATTATTGTTATTATATTCTAAGATGATAATGTATGTTATTTCCTGGTTTTGCCATGTTGGATTTTTCCAATGGGCACCAGGCTTGTAATTACAGCTTCATCTACACATTGATACTTTTGAGGTATTGGCGCCGCCCCCCCAAAATCAACGAAAAGAACCACACACACAAAAAAAAAGGTTAATTAGTATGATTATGACAAGGCAAGGGTGGTTGAAAATGACTGGCATTTTGCAAGTTCAATGAAGAGAAGAACTTGATTATAGTTGCCCAAATATGTTTATTTGACGGATCAAAACTAGAGCCGGAGAGACATCAAAGCTAGTCCTGGACTTGCCAACCAAACGACATCAATATCGCGTTCGATTTCTACTCTCCTAATATCGCTTATAATTCAGAGAAAAAACGTAAAAAGTGCTCCTCAAACTAATTATGCTTTGATCTCCCACTTTTCGAAACTCAAAAGCAAAGAACATCATTGATATTCTTCATAAAAGGATCGAACACAAACAATTAGGTTTATGTAGTTACTCATCGTCATAAGAATCTGTTGTTGAAATACAGCTGCAACTATACAATATCCGACGGTGTGGGAAAGTTGAAAATTGTACATACATAAATATGCAAACGCAACCTGGCAACTTAATACAAGCTTCCCCTATCGATGATGCATATATATCTATATAGGTTCAGGACCAAGTTAATTGAATGCGAATAAATTGCTAGTATATGCTCCTTGTGTTGAAAATGCTAGCCACAATATATATATATTGTAGATTCTAATATGCTTTGACTTTCTTAATTAACTCCCCCTCATTTTTAATCTAAATTATTGAATATGGTTCCAACTTCCACGAAAGAAATATAGTAGTATAACATTGCATCCTAATGTGTTATGGGAAGCTTCAAAATTTATAGAGGGAATTGACTTTGCAAATGTTCTAGTTTACTTTTGTTCGATGACGTGGCAACCCGTAACTGGACGAGGGGACTTTTGTGTCAAGGATTTCTGATTTGCCACTTGTCATGGAAAGTTCCTTAAGGCACTCCCTCCCCACAACAATTTCTATTTCAAAATCTTCTGTCAATGTTTTTTTCCCAAAAGAATTGCAACTTGTTCTTTGTTAATGTTAACATATATTTTTCTCCATCCCCACAACTTGTTGAAGCATGTGGAATATGACAGAAAACTTCCTATAAAAGGCAAGTTGCAACCAGTTTTTTTCCAGCATGTTTGCTTTGGAGTGAGTACATTGAAACAACCATTCTTCTGTTTCAAAGATTGACATGGAGACACTACTAGATCAGAAGCTTGTTTCAAGTTGGTTTGATGTTCAATCTGTGCCCCAAACTTATGTCCACCCACCCGAAAAACGACCTGGGAAGCTCAACGTTCCTCTATGCAACAACATCCCAGTAGTTGATCTTGGAAGCCATGATCGCCGTGACACCATTCATCGAATTTCCAAAGCTAGCGAAGAGTTCGGATTTTTCCAGGTTCAGGATCAATCACCTTCTACAGCTTTGCACTTGTTTTATCTTGTTATTTACATAAATTTTAAGTTTAGAGTTCCATTGTGATCATAAAATAGTACTACTTTCTCTCAGGTCATCAATCATGGTGTTCCCACTAAGTTAGTTGATGACACGATGAGTGTTTTCAAGGAGTTTCATGCACTGCCCCAAAAAGACAAGGCAATTGAAGGCTCCAAGGACCCAAGTAGAAGCTGCAAGCTCTACACAAGCAGTGAAAACTATGCAAATGAAGAGGTTCACTACTGGAGAGATGTCTTGACCCACCCTGGTCATCCCTTTGAACACTACATGCAGTTTTGGCCTGAAAAACCAACTCGATACCGGTATGTGGCCTTGTATGCAATCATGTAAAAAATATATGATCTTTCAAGCTTATAATTGCTTAATCTTGTTATATCTAAGCAGAGAGGTTGTTAAGGCTTATCTGGAGGAGGTAAGGAACTTGAGCTATGTCATTTTGGAGCTGCTTGCTGAAGGCTTGGGAATTGGCACTGAGTTCTTCTGTGGTGGACTTACTGAAAGTCCAGTGCTGTTGTCCAATCATTATCCACCATGCCCAGACCCTAGTTTAACATTGGGATTAACCAAACATTGTGACCCTACCCTTATAACCATTTTACTTCAAGATACAGATGGCCTTCAAGTTTTCCAGGATGGGAACTGGATTGGTGTTGAGCCTGTTCCTAGTGCTTTTGTGGTTAACATAGGCTATGTCTTGCAGGTACGTTTTTAAAATGTGATAAGAAAATATGGTCTCTCTAGCATTATTCGAGTTAGTTTACTAATTAACTTGATGATGTGGACTAATGCAGATAATCAGCAACTCGAAGTTTAAAGGCGCCGAGCATAGAGTGGTAACAAATTCAAGAGTTGCACGGACAACAATCGCGTACTTCATTCATCCATCGAACGAGAGCCTTATAGCACCTGCAAAAGCTTTATGCAATCCACCATTGTACAGGTCCATGAAGTTTAAAGAGTTCCTCAGAAACTTTAAATCCAAGGCTGCCAATGCTGATGCTGTGTTGAAGGTTATAAGCCTCTCAAGTAGCTAGTGTGGTGATCTGCCAAGACAAATCGCCATACAAATTCTATTTCTGTACGAAAAGGTTTTATGACTAGGTTGTAATACCCAAAAAAAAAAAAAAAACTACTTGCATAGTTGGTATGATATTTTGCTTTAAATTATGTTCTGTAAATGAAGGATGCGATTGCATTTGTACCGGTGCACGAGTTCTTATACAAAAACCAATATTAATTATTGAAAACTGCATAAAAAAATGTAAGCTGGTTTAGACTCATAAGCTAAAACAAGCAAACCCTTATAAAATAAAACTGGTGCAGATAAGGACATGGGCATAATCAACCAACCAAAACAAGAAAGATTAGATTAAAAATCTGAATTATATATGCCTGCAAGAGCCAATCATCTCCTACTTGATTCCAATTAATACTCATAATCAGCATCTGCTGCTTTGTCTACTTGAATTATATAAGCCCACAAGACCCAACAATCTCTGCTTAACTCCAATACTTATCAGCATCCTCTCCATATAAATATGAAAAATAATTATGTGGAGGTTGAGACATTCAAATCATGAGCTTTATTGGTATTGCTTGGCATATAATATATCTAGGTTTTTGACTTGGGAGGTGCAGTGTTGCACAAGTTGTGTGTAGTTTAGGGAA